AATAATTCGATACGTATGAAATACCATTTTAAGAGAAATGTGATGTAGAAGGGTTGATTACAATGCTGTGTCTTTGACCAGTTTATAATTAAAAATATAAAATGTCTTTATTGTTTGATACAATCTCTCTTAATCCTAATGCACTTGACTCAGCGATGCTACAGAATTTCATAGAACAAATTTTCTCCATCAAACTATTTTCCGATAATAGTGCAATCTTCTACGAAACAAATGGTTAGGATGAACTCAAAAAGGATGGCTGACTTACTTGACTAGACAACAAAGTAGTTACTGTGAAATTAGACAAACCCAGTTACATACCTTTCAGCTGCAACATTAGTTATCTCTCTAAATAATCACGTTGATAATTATATAAATGAAAATTCCCTTGCGCTCCAATCTGAAACACAAATAAAATACCTTGGCCTATTCATTGGGAGTTATTTGAACTGGGAATATATAAATTGAAGGTCTTGGTACAATCACAGCATGCTATAGTACAAGTAAAGAATGGATGTCTTCTCTGTTTTAGGAAAGTAAAAATCTTACATGGAGAGAGATAAAGTCGTTAAACGAGACAGTAGAGCTGTCGTCTTGGCTGCTGCATTAGACAGAGCGAAATGTCCTACTAAATTGAGTGAAGATTCCTTCGTGAGCACCTGCGTTATGAACGAATCAGAGCATGTATGAGTACGATTCTTGCTTTAAACTGTTGTCATACTCATAGGTAAATTGCGTACTTTCCTATAAATCACGTTCATAACCAGGAAAATACATTAAACTGAAAATACCTGGCATTAAGAATTCAAATATACTAACTATAATAATGTAATTTTAAAACCTGTTTTGAGTTTTAAAGCATTTTGTTAAGTACATTTTAAATTATAACCACACACACTATCCTGTAATAATTTGGCAACAATGTGGATAACAACGAGCACGCTTACAATTCGCCTTTTATAAACAAAATTGGTCTAGTAGTTTAATAAAATATATTAGAATTTGATTCGTTGTTGGTGCAAGATATCATACTACAAGTGGTCGATCATATTTGGACGTAACAGCCTTATTCTTTACATTTACGATAATCAATTATTACAAAAATTTTCTCTTAATATATTTATAAATCCTCGATAAAGTGGACATAAAGTATTTAATCAATTAATTTGCCCCTCTAAAAATTTTTTTTATTTTACTACTAAAATAACATACAGCTGGTAACATAGACCAAACAGTATTAACTTCCATTTTATTGCGATATTCAGTTATAAACTCCTACATTTAGCAAGATACGGCTAGTCGGGTGATCAAAAGCTTACAGCGCCTTTATACGAGCAGAATTTGCTGTCTCTCCGCCACCTAATCTATCGTCCTATCAATCCAAAGCTTAGAAAGAGTAACAAACTTTTTACAGTAGGTACTAAAACCTGTCTCCATTAATTTTTTCAAACGCGTCCCCATTAATGTTTTGATCCCTTGTGCCTAATGCCCGTTTTCTTTGCAGCTCATTAAACTAAACTGAGCGCATTATATTGTCTGGGGCTGGATTTGTACTAGGATAAGTCGTCGAAAACATCCTTCGATTGTACTATTAGACAAAGTCAAAAAGGTTAATGAGAAAATCGGTGAACCTATCCAATAAACTAAATAGAAAACGGAAAGGGAATAAACGCTTCAAAGTGAAGAAAGGCCACATTTTTCCCCTATCCTCGCAACAATTTCACGTAAGGGTTTGTCTTTAAATCCAGTGCGGTACATGGAGAAACGTTTTCTTTTATACAGAGGGTGTTACGCGTTTAACGCGAAATAGTTAAAGAGTTGAAGTGATACCATAAACGTAAAGAGGAAAATTGACAGTATGCAAGCGTATTCAAATATTCTTTACGTTTACGTTTACATAAATATGTAGTCTTACGTTAAGTGAGCAGTCGGACCGGTTGAATACAACTAGGAAAAAATAAAACCAACCGGCTAGATATGACTATAATAATCTGATCGGTCAGGGTCATTTAGAACAGTCGAAAAATGTTAGTTAAAACTGTTTAATGAATGGTCAACGGTCAATAATTACGGTCCGTTTTTTTTTTAATTCGATAACTACAAAATGAAGGATTTTCTGCAGTGCATTTTTCTTATGATGCTTAATGTTCAATTAAAAAAATTGAAATATAACAGTAATTAATACTAAATGGAAATAAATACGTAAAGACCAATTATTTATTATAAACTTCATTACTTTATTACAAAAACTGAACAAATATGTAGTTTTTGGAAAACTCGATAAGTACTGTCAAAATAAAAAACGTCAACGTAATTGTTCATTTTTGGGCTATTATGCCGAGGTCTTTCTTGGTTATTACTACCAAACGTTTCACCTGCAACTGCGGCATCCATCTTAAGTGGCGTAGTATTTATATGAGTACCTGCGCGTTCTTTTTTGGGCGTAACTGGTATCGCGCTTTTTAATGATGTGTGTCAGATCCTAGGGAATGTTTTTTTCTTCCTTTCTATCGAAGATCTTTTGTTATTGGTTTATTTATATAGCCTCCAAGTACAATCTGGTCGAGTAATGTCTTGATGTTGCTAATAGGTTGGTGTTTTGGAAAAGGACGTTGTATTCTCCGTCTGATAATGTATGTTGCGCGACGCGCTTTATGAATTCATACTGTATGTCAGCAGGCTAAGGTGTTAAAATGCAGGAGGAATTAAATGCATATTTTTTCTAAAATTCTTTAAAAATACTACCTCGTGCTAGCGCAGAAATCACGTAGGGATTTATAAACCAGTACGCGCGTGTGAACCCTATAATTACTACATGTGTTGTCACCTAGTATGATTTTAAGTAGGCTTCTGCTCTTCCTATAGGTGGAATTCATACCGCATGGCAACACAAAAGCCGATCCGCACGAAACTTTGAAATGTTTACTTTACCGCCTGGCTGCGTGTTCCATTTAGTTGTAACGTGTTGCCATCACTACTTATAACCTAAAAAAAAGCATTAGCATTTTGTTGTTTAAGAAAATTTTACAAAAATTATTCTTTCCGAGCAAGACTTGAGTGATTTTCTTCAAGAAGTTTGTGACCACATAATTTTTAAGTTTCAGTACGAAACACGGGACATTTTTCATTTGGATATTATTTGCAAGTTAAAAGACAGTTATAAAAACGATTATAACAAGTTTAGTGATGAGTAGTTAATGAAATTTTCGCTGCTCACTTGAACAAAATTGGATTGTAAGGTATACTTACCCTAAAATAAAACGATTAGCCTTTCGAAAAACAGTTGTATGTCAGCATTCATCGCACAACAAAACGGCCAAAGAAACTGAAGATAGGAGTCTCAATAAGTTATGTACCGCTAAGATAGACTTTCGTGCAAAGAAAATAAATAGGTTTACACAGAGAAATGACGAAAATTTAAAAAGGGGACTCAATATTATAATAAATGTATATTTTAGCTGAGGCATTTAGTTATCTACGTTGTGAGCCTAATATTGAACGTAATTTTCAGACTTATTTTGAATCTGGTATGACACCGAGTGCTGCAAAAACATATCATGAAATGCAACTGATAGAAAAATACGGGGCAGATATTTTTACATACTTAGCAAATGGTCATTTGAATCCAATTGATAATTATGTATACTATTTCAAAAATGGAGAACTTCAAGATATGGTGACAGAGCAGAACAAAATATAAATGAAGTGATTATGCAAAGAAAAAATAAATTAGAAGAGGAAGATTTTGTTGTTACATTCAAGGAAAATCCTAGGATAATAGTGATTATAACACCAATTATGAAACGAGCTTTTCTTAAGGGACTTTCAGATAAAATTGTGTTTGTGGATACAAGTAGTTCATGTGACCAGACAAATACAAATGTAACATTTTGTTTTACGGTTCATAAAGTGTGTGCTATTCCTACAGCTTGTGTATTGCACACTGAACAGTCGGAAGCTAACTATACTTTAGCATTCTCAGCTATCAAAGGGGCACTTGAAAAAGACGGTTTCGAAAAAAAATTCGAACACAGTATTATTATGACGGATGACAGCCAAGCTCAAAGGAATTCACTTCAAGCTGTTTTTCCAGAATCTCGATTATTGCTTTGTGCTTTTTATGTCTCACAAGCTTTTTGGCGTTGGCTCTGCGATGGACGTCACGGTATTGATAAAGCAAAAAGACAACACATTATGTTAGAATTTCGTAATTTGTTGTATGCAATTACACCTACTGAAGCCGAAACTCTATTTAATGATTTATTGAAAAATAATTTTGTAGAAGAAAATGAAAAACTATACTTTCATTTAAATGAAATTTGGAAAAAAAAAATAGTGTATAGCTTACAGATCTGATGTTATTACTCGTGGCCAGAATACCAATAATTATACCGAAGCTTCAATTAGAATACTGAAAGAAGTTATACTACAAAGATGCCGTGTGTTCAATGTGTGTGTGCACTTATTGACTTTATAACGACAATTTTTAAAAAGTACCATCATCGCCGGCTACTGGATTTTGCTAACATGAGGCAAAACAAACTCAATCTTTATTCTGATTTTACAAAAAAGAAGACACGTTAAAAGTGATTCGACTTAATTCGCATGAATTCAATGTTTCGTCAAGTAAAGATGATAAAGTGTTTTTTAAAATAAACATCGATGCAGCGTTTTGTGATTGTGTCGCAGGAAAAAGTGGAACATTCTGCAAACATCTTTACGCTATTGAAAATCAGCATAATTTTGTCTTCCAAAACTTACCAAAGATAGACACTAAAGATCGAATTATGTTTGCTAAGCTAGTTTGGGAAAAGTAGATGAAAGATTTTATGAAAGTATGACAAATTCTAGTTTGAACGAACATGAGCAGACTGTGGCCAATTTTAGTAAACAGAATACGTATTTCACTATTTCAAGCAATAAGAATCCTCCTTTTGAGAATTTGGTGAATGATATAAACACCCAACAATTTGATGTTCAGTATCAAGCGTCACTGTTAAATTTAAAAAAAGAAGTTAACAGATTAGTGGAAACGTTTAAGCAAAAACCAAGTTCTGGTAGTTTAAAATCAATGAATACACTCACCAATCACTTAAAAAAATCGATACGTCAAATCAAGATGTCGATTTAATACTTAATAAAATGACGTTTAGAAGAAGTAGGAAAATGAAAGTAAAACCAACAGCAATCAGTCGAAGAAAACATACATCTGCAGGAACAAAAACAAGAAATCGGATTCACTCAGGAAGAATTTAAAAAAAATAAAACCACTCACTACTAAACAATATTAACAGTAATGTGCTAAATGCTAAAAAATAAATTTATTTTCTTAATACATGTAAAGACCGTTTATATTTGACAAAATATATTATTATAATAAAAACAATATATTCTGTTAGTTTTTCATTTGATCAAGAGAAAACCAATATATTAAAAAAATAAAGTTAATGTATTTAAAATACTTTCTAATAATCAGACATATTGTAAAAACAACTCAATATATAGAATAGCAGTAGCAAGAATTAACTCCATTTTTTACTTGTGAACCAGACTACAAAATAATAACAAAACTATTCAACTCTGATATTTAAAAATAATTACAATTTTATCAGCAGGTATCATTTCATCTGCTTTTACGCCTTTGTACGCTCATGAATTCCTCCTGGACTGCAGCACACAATTCACGTATGGTTTAAAGTTACTAGAGCGGGCATGATATTCAGATTTTCTACCGTGTTTCAGCGCTATGAATGTGCTGACATACAGTAGGAAGTCATAAACCGCTTCGGGCGACTGCAGACTTTTTGGTTTGTCTTAAACGACAACTTTGTGTTCTGTTATTCGTGTACCAATGCTTCCCTTTGTTTGTCCTATGTATACCTTTTCACAAGTGCATGGAATTCTGAAAACTCCTCCTGATGTGAAGGGGACTATTGGGGTTTTGGTGTTTTAAGATATTTCCCTATTTTCCTTGTTGGTTTGTAGAAAGTACTGACGTTCTTTTTCTTTAGGATTTTCCCAATTCGGTAAGTGTCACCTTCTACGTAAGGTATATAGGCAGTTCCTTGGTTTTGTTCTTTACTAGACTTGGTATCTTTCTCTCTTGGGCGCGTAGCACGGATTATGCCTTTTTTGCTGTATCCGTTTACTTGTATCACTGTTGTCAGGTGTCATTATTGGTGTGTCTTGATTCACAAATCTTTAACGCTCTGTTTCTTGCAGCTGATTTTTCGCCTCTTGAAATATTACGTGGTGGTTTGTCTTTTCGTAGAATTGTTGCAGCTTCACTGCGTACCTCTTCTTTGACATCAGGTGGTAGGTTTTCAAATCCGGCTTCTATATTGGCAATGATTTCTTCTGTAGGTATTGTATGTGGGGTAACACTGAAATTTTCTCTTTTGGCTAGTAAGCTTGTTTTCGTGAGTAGCCAATTTAAGGAGGTCCGTTCGCCACACCTCTCGCCTCAAATGTTAAAAAAAAGTTATTAGATTATGACTAAAATTAATTTTTTTCTAATAGTTGAGGTCCTTATTTATCTAATACTGAACTTTTTACTATACCTTACCTTGCAAATTTTTGAGATTTTTTTTTTTTTAATGTGAGTATTTGTACAGTGCCTCACGAGAAAGTAAGTCCTCAACAACAATTCTCGAATTATACTATTATTTATTGATTAGAGGGAGTAGAAAAAAACTAAAAATAAGGTTTTTGAAATATTTAGATTTTGTTTTATACAATAAAATATATATAGTGAACCATGGCACTTATTGAGAAATTAATATTAAAAAATCACAAAAAAATTTCAAGTAACCTAGTTGAAAATTTTTTGTGATTTTTTAATAATAATTACTCAATAAATTCCACGGTAACCTATATATTTTATTGTAAAAAACAAAACCTAAATATTTCAAAAACCTTATTTTTAGTTTTTTTCTACTCCATCTAATCAATAAATAATAGTAAAATTAACTTTAATTCGAAAATTGTTGTTGAAGTTTACTTTCACATAAGACACTGTACAAACACACATATTTAAAAAAAAAATTCTCAAAAATTTGCACGGTAAAAAACAAAACCTAAATATTTCAAAAACCTTATTTTTAGTTTTTTTCTACTCCATCTAATCAATAAATAATAGTAAAATTAACTTTAATTAGAAAATTGTTGTTGAAGTCTTACTTTCTCATAAGACACTGTACAAACACACACATTTAAAAAAAAAATTCTCAAAAATTTGCACGGTAAGGTATAGTTAAAAATTCACTATTAGATAAATAAGGACATCTACTATTAGAAAAAAAATAATTTTAGTCATAATCTAATATTTTTTATTTAACATTGGTGGCGAAAGGACCTCCTTAAGAGATAAATTACAATCTGTTTCAAATTTGTCTTTGGAGTCCCGAGATGTTTTGTTTGGATTCTGTTGAATTATCTCTTTTCTCTCTCATTGGATAACTGTAAGGTTGATTTCGTTGTATTAAGTGTTATTCTGTCTCAGCTTCAAATGTAGTTTAAACAGTTGTTCATCATTTGTTGATAACTTCTTTCGTATTTGGTGATTTACCTCGCTTAGTAATGCTTTTTCAATTCTGGTAATAATTAAATCATTAAGCAGATTTGTATCAGCATTATCGTTTGAATTAAGAGCATTCTAGAACTTCATCGTAAACAGACGAAACTTATATCAATACCTTGCAAAAGTTATTTGATATCAATTTTTTTTAAGACCATTAACGTAATTAACTGCTGGAAGATGTTGCGATGCCAATATCTAATGTGCACTTTTTACACCTTTTTTGAAAAACTGACTTCTGTTTCATGTTCTGTATACATAGCAAGAACTTTGCAAACGACTACTTCAAGTACTTAAAAACTCGAGCTTCACTTGTTCTAAGAAAAAGTTTTTTTTTAAATAGTCTTCGTATCTCTTATAATCAAATGTATTTCAGTCCCCAAACATTTATACTTCTATTAAAATAACCAAAAAAGGTTGACAGCTGAAAAATGCAAAAAAAAATCTGGTCGTCTGTGTGCATGTATGCCGGCACGATAATTCTAGAACGAAAGCTCTGATTGACTTGTAGTTTTGCTTTTCTTGAATAACTACTTCTAACTTAGAACCCTATTGATTTTCAGAATTTTCGGTTCATCCTAACTACTTTAATATCAATTTTTTTAAAATCCGCCCATGCATTTCTTGTATGACAATTTTAGGAATTCCAATTATTTCTAACGTCAACATTTCTAATATTCTTTACATTCCATAAATTGCAAACATTCTCTAACGACCTGTCAAACAACAGCTGTTGATGGTAAAGGCGAAATTTCTAAGGCAAGTTGCGACCTTTATACTTGCAACTATAGACATTTTGAAGGCTATTTTTATTCGAAATTAGTCGCCAAGTCTGCCAATTTATGAAAAATATAAAAGCAGTTTCTTAAAAATGACTTTTTTATGATGGTGCTAACTTGAGCGTACTACTATTTTGCATCTAGCCTCAAAAACACGTTCATCAAATAATTTACTAGCTCTCTGTCGCAACTCCATAGAATAATTAACCAGCCACTCTATTTGGCAAAAATCAGAATAATGCTTGGCTGTGCCTGTCAAGTATGAAGATGTCAACTGAGATGTATGAATAGCTCTTAAATGTCAAATTATTTAAAAATGTATGCTACTTTTGATATTTATGGCAATTAATTTGTAGTTTATCTCAATTCAGGCTTTTCATAAATAAAGATACAACAAGACAGATTAAGGGGTCTATTCTGTAACAATTCCTTTATATTTAACGGCCTTTAAAAATATTGGCGGCCTATAAAAATATGTTCGTATTCGTTAATTTACTTCTGTCATTATTTAAACAGATTTCTTTAAGATAGTCCTCTAATGTATTTAAAGACCCCAATATAATGTTCTTGTGTAAAGCACTTTTTTATTATATAAAAGAGGTATGCTGGTTTTTTGTAGATAATTTTAATTATACGATTTTTGATTACATATTCAACCAGCGAATTGT